GCCTAATCTCCAAAATTTATAGGGAACTCATACAACTTAACAAAAAGAAGATAAACAATCCAATCAAAAAATGGGCAAAGGATCTAAATAGACACCTTTCAAATAAAAGGCATCCAATTTGGAAAGGACGAAGTAAAACTATCATTATTTGCAGATGACATGATACTGTAGAGAACCCTAAAGATTCCACACATACACACACAAAAAAAATACTGGAACTGATAAATTCAGCAAAGTAGTATGATACAATATAAATATCCAAAAATTGCTTGCATTTTTATATACCAATAATGAACTATCATAAAGGGAAGATATGAAAACAATCCCACTTATAATTGCATACAAAAAATAAAATACCTAGGAGTAAATTTAACCAAGGAGGTAAAAGAAGTGTACTTGAAAAATTTTAAAACACTGAAAAAATTGAAAAAGACATAAATAAATGGGGGTATATACAGTGCTTTTGGATAGAAAGAATTAATACCATTAAAATGTTCATACTAACCAAAGCAATCTAAAGATTCAGTGCAATTCCTATCAAAATGCCAATGGTGATTTTCACAGAACTGGAACAAATAATCCAAAAATGTATATATAAAACAAAAGACCCCAAATAGCCTTAGCAATCTTGAGAAAGAAGAACAAAGGTGAGGTATCACGCTACACGATATCAAACTCTACTAAAAGGCTATAATAATCAAAATAGCATGGTACTGGCCTAAAAACATATACATAGATCAATGGAACAGAATAGAGAGCCCAGAAATAAACTCATCCCTATATGGTCAATTAATATGTGATAAAGAATGTAAGAACACACAATGGGGTAAAGACAGTCCATTCAATGAAAGGTGCTGATAAAATTTAACATGAGGGAAAAAAAAAAGAGAAACTAGACAGCCTTCTTACATCATATACAAAAGTAAATTCAAAATGGGTTAAAGAATTAAATGTCAGCCCGGCAGCTTGGCTCAGTGGTTGAGTCAAGGAGTTCAAGGTTCGATGCCTGGTCGGGCACATGCCCGGGTTGTGGGCTCAATCCCCATGGTGGGGCAGACAGGAAGCAGCCGATCAATGATTTTCTCTCATCATTGATATTTCTATCTCTCTCCCCCTCTCCCTTCCTCTCTGAAATAAATAAAAACATATTTTTAAAAAAGAATTAAATGTCAGACTCAAAACCATAAAATTCCTAGAAGAAAACATAGGAAGTTAAATCTCTAATATTTCTCTTAGTCATGTTTTTTCTGATATATCTCATTGGGCAAGAGAAACAAAGGAAAAAATAAACAAATGGGACTACATCAAACAAAAAAAAGCTTTTGCACAGCAAAGGAAACCATCAACAAAATAAAAAGACAACTTACTGAATGGGAGAAGGTATTTGCCAATGATACATCCAATAAGGGGTTAATATCTAAAATTTATAAAGAACTCCTACAACTCACCAATAAAAAATCAAACAACCCAATTTAAAAACAGACAAAGAACCTGAATAGACACTTCTCCAAAGAGGACATACACATGGCCAATAGACATATGAAAAGATGATCGACATCACTAATCATAAAAAAATGCAAATTAAAACCACAATAAAATGTCACCTCACCCCTGTCAGAATAGCTACCATCAATAATCAAGTATAGGTGAGGATGTGGAGAAAAGTGAATCCTCGTGCACTGCTGGTGGGAATGAAAATTGGTACAGCTCATACCGTATGGAGGGCCCTCAAAAAATTAAAAATGGAACTGCCTTATGAACCAGCAATTAAACTTCTGGGTATATACCCAAAGAAACCCAAAACATGAATTCAAAAAAACATATGCACTTGTGTGTTCATTGCAGCATTATTTACTACTAGAGGCCCGGTGCACAAAAATTTGTGCACTGGGTGGGGGGGGGGGGGGTCCCCCCCCCCGGCC